CAAAGCGATTATATTGATTGATATTATATGACAACCATTCCACTCCCCCCCCCCCCCCCCAAAAAAAAGAAAATAAATAAATAAATAAATGAATTTAGAGACTTACATTGTAAGCCTGATTCTTTTCAATACATACATGTACATGTATAGCTCAATCATAATTTCATGTGCAGGACCTCGAAAGCACTGACCAGCGATTAGTGTAAAAATGACTTCTGTTCAAGCTCTTTTTAAAAAAATATTTTGTTTATTAAGTCTTACTTCCTCTTACAGCAATTTCAATATATACATTACAGTACATATATTTGTTTGCTTTATTTCATTATCATTGTTGTTGTTGTGAAGGGGGGGGTAAATAAAGTGTGTGATTGTAATTCTTATTGCTCCCATGAACTTTTCATAATCTCAGACATTCATAAGACACATCAGCCAGGCAAGTTTGAGTTCATTTCATTTAAAAACCACACAAAACATGAGATAATCTTTTACATGAAAAGAGACTGATGGTACTGTAGTACAATAATCAACATAAAATTTGATAAAATGAATGATTTTTAGGACCCCTTTAGAAGCTAAGCTTGTGAGCGGGAGCCCTATAGGCAGGATGAAACTTGTCAACCGTCTAATGTAGACCTGAGATGTTGTGACAGTGTATCACTTTCAGTATCAATACTACATGTAATATTGGCAATCTTTTCTTCAGACTAGCCTGCCAAAGACACACAGAGCGTGCAGGGGCTTTGAAGCATAGCTGCTTGTTTTTTCGGCTCTGCCGCTCTTTAGTCTAGAGATGTGTGAATGTGTCTACTATTACACCTTATTTAATATCAATCATATGGTCATGGTCACAGACGAATAGCCAATCTATAGCCAATTTACCATTTGCTGATTAAAGTGATTACAGTGTGCGTGTCCAGTAATACACCTCACTGCATAATTATCAATCGTATCAAAGACACATCCATAGAATTGCCAATTTGTCATTTACTTAAAGTGACAGTGTACATGTAAAACTGTGTATTAGTATTACACCTTGCTGCATCATCAATCACGTCAAAGACGCTTGGTCATATAATTACCAATTTCTCATTTCCTTATTAAAGTGATTACATATGCATGCATGTAAAACTATATAATTCATAACTGTGTTATCATCAACTCTGACTACACAGAGCCAGAAGAGTATGTTATAGCTACATGTTGTATGTATATGACCCTTGACAGACATCATCATTTATCAGACTCTCCTAAAACTATACACCAATCTGATCTATACATACACGTACAGTGTACATACAGTACATTGTGTGCTTCTTGCAACACTCAGATATACCAGAGAGTTAATTTCCCTTTGAAAAAGAAAAGAAAATAATTCAGTCTGCTGGCTACTGTACATGTATGTACTGTAATGTACTGTACAAATGTACATGTAGAATCCCCCAGGTAATTATAATCTGTAATGCAATGGACTATGAAATTATTATTCTCAGTTCGTGCATCAACATATCATCCCCCAAGATTTTATTTACACTTTAAACCCATCAAAAACAATTTCCTTTTCAAAGGTATTTCCTTCATTTATGGCTTTGATGCCAAGTAAAGGTAATATGATCAATTCCAAGTCAGCGTATTTTCGATTGATGTTTTCATGTATGGCTAAAGAGAACGTTGAGTTCTGGCCATGAGATAACATCGTGCAAGAGACTAAAGCAATAGAACGGTTTAATAGCATTTTATGCATACTTTTTTTAAACAAAGGTTGTTCTTGACAACCTGAAAACTTGCCTGACATAGCAATAAATAATGTATGCAGGAATTCCTAGGACTGTATAACAGGTTTAAATCGAATAACTCGTCCCTACTGTAGGTCGCCAGGAAAGAAACATTCATAAATTTGTGAATATACCGGTCTATTGGGAATGATCGAGTCAAGAATTGTTTATTCATTGGGATGATCAAAATGAAAAGTCAGTCTTGGTGAAGATCAAATGAATGCACATACATTGTACATGCAGAAATCACAGGCATCTATGGGACTACACAGTTCGCATGATGCTGTGTACATGTGTACATGTATACTGTAATACTGTCATGGATATTTTATATAGCACACATCTCCACCAAGTGAGTGCTCAAGGCTCTCCAATATCACCTGACTCTGCTAGGCTATCGATTCTGGTGCTCACAGCATTCAAGGAACATTCCTACAGGTACCCATTAAATACCTGTGGCAAATGTAGATGTTGCCAATAAAAGGAATTTAATACAGATTTATTTTAAAGGTTAAGACCAGTATTGGAAACGCCCCAATTTCAAAAAATGAAATGGAAGCTCTCATTACCAATCATGTGAAAGAATGTATGTATGTTTCTCTCATGGTTTGTGAGAGATATAGGGTAGTCCCATATACATCTTTCCGTGTATAGTGCTTGTAACTTTACGAAGAATGGGCCATATTTCTTATCATTTTGATGATTCCACAACCTTGCAGATGCTAGATGCTAGATGATCAACCTTTTCTGATCGATTCCACAACGTTTCTTTCACAATGCAACCGCTTGACCAGAACTGGTCTTTACCTTTAAAGGTGAAGGGCAAGAGTGCTGACACTGCCCCTGCTTCAATAGTGAAACAACACCTTGTTTTTATTTACACTGTACAAGTACATACAATGTACATGTACATGTTTTGTATAAGAATACACAGCAGACCTGTGTACAGATCTATAGTAAACAAGGCCAAATAACAAAAATAACGTGTTTCTCGTCTGGACTTTTAAAAAAAAGGAGAAGGCAGGGCATTACTTTTTATTATTTTGCCAATTTTTCCCCAAGACGGCTGCCATGCTAATTATAGCTGGCCAAGCCTATTTTTCACAGATGTTGTGCTATGTGAGTATGCTGATGCAATGTTATGATTGATATCACTTTAGAAGCAATTTAAACAAAGTGTATATCACAGGCTTTTTTTTTTAGGGGGGGGGGGGTGGGCTTTTTTCTGAATAGTAAATACATGTAGTATTAAAAAAAAGAGGCAGCAGCCAAAATGGAGGCGGGGGGGGGGGGGGGGGACACTTCATTTTATTTATTTGGCCTAACAGTCTGGAGAAAAAAAGTCAACCACTGAAAATACAAATTAGCCTCTCCTGTACCAATTAATATATCCTGTGCTGTTCAAATGACATAATTACAGTAGAGAGTACCTACAGAGGACTTGACATCATACAAGTAGGCCAACTTATTAAACTCTCAATCTCTCATACAGCTGTTGAAATGCCATTTATAATTGTGCAGTGCAGTGTACAACCATAGACGTAATACGTCTATGGTACAACGTAGGGCCTACATGCACATGTACACTATATGTACATGTAGGCTGGTACATGTTCATTTTGTTTGTACTAACCCTTTAAATAGTATACAGACAATACAGCTTATTTTCAAGACAAATTTTTGAGATTAAAGTTTTTGATTCATGAACGCTTCTTTTCCATTGCTTATAAACATCAACTTCACAAAGGAAATTGAGGAACCATAGTAGTAAAATAAGTACATTTGTACATGTATCTAGACCTACATAGCTACAGCTACATGTATACGATAAGTGATTAATTTTATCTGTCTGATCTGCATATCCTATACTAAACATTGTACAGGTAAAGTGAAACTTGATATAGCATATATGCACTTTATATGAGCATTGTTTCAAATGAAAACTCTATAAAGATCAAGTAACCTGATCTTGTCTGAATGTTATCATACAGAAAATGCATTTATAACTGGACAGGACTAATTGTGAGCATGCAGTGATGATTGGCTAGCTGTCGTGACCTCCTAAACACTAGTTCCTAGACACCATCTTTAAATACGATACCCCTTTTTGTGTGTGTACGTTCATTCTCCTTCTCATCCTCAAGGCGAAACTAAGAATACAGTCATTTTGTATACATTTTACACAGAAAAGTTTTGAGAAATGGAGAGGAATCTGGGATTCATAGCAATAGTTTGAGAACCTAAAAGTAGGAATAATTCTTCCAAAATAGAAATGGTTGACAGCTACATGTACAATTTACAATGATGATGCTTTAGACGTTTCTTTATGCGTTTCTTTATACAATTTACATGTGTAAACTTCCTTCAGCCTTACATGCTACATATCAACAAAGTGCAACACTAAATCTTGGTAATTTGTATTTATGGGTACCCAGCAGAAAGAACTTCCTCAAATGCTTGAGTGCCTGATAATTGAATGCTTGAGTACCCAATAATTGAACCCCGTCTTATTAAAGCAGCTTGGATAATATTACAAAAGTACATGTGGTACCGGTTTTATTCGTAGAATATGATTGTATACACTGAGGTTTTCTTCGACAGATTCTTATTCTTTTTGCATCTCATCCTAAGTCATTTTAAGCTACCTGTGCTTTGAAATATTTGTTCATACAGCATGTACAGTTGTATACATGTATTTTCACCTTTTTATTTTTTATGTCATCGTAAATTTATGCTAAGTTATATGTATCGGTATGATCGTTGTACTATACACTGTGGCCTGAATTCACAAAAGAGGTTTATGGATAAACCAAGGTTTGTAAAAACGCATATGACGCACATAAACCTAGGTTTGTCAACAAACCTCCTTTGTGAATTCGGGCCTGTGAGTTTAAAGATTGAAATAAATCAACCATGGTGGTCTGGACTTTTTAGATTTTCGCCTGACTATTATCTGTATAATTTATGTTTTAGAATTGAAACCTGTTCTTTTTTACACAATAATTTTGACGACCCAAACTGCTTGGAGTACAGGTACATGTACATACAGTGTAGAATATGTGTAGACTCCTCTGAATTCATGCTTGAGTCAGAGGAATCGTTTGTCACAAATCTTCTTCAAAATTGTACAATTCTACAAGTTCACTTCCAGAATTCAACCATGGCCCTTCGTGTTTAGAGGTCCTTGACTCCGCAAATATATTTTACCACCTTCGAAGTGAAACTCACCTGCTCCGTTGAGTGAAGAATACATGAGTGCACTCTGTCTCCATGCCGGGCATATCACACTTGCATCCTGTTTAGGACAAGGTCAGACAATAAAGAATTAAGGTCAAAATTATCATACTGTCCACAACAGTGGATACGATTATTCTTTGTTTTTTAAAAGGTTAATTCAGGTTAGAGCTGGATATGGAAGGGAAAACAATATCATTAACGTAACGAATGGAAGTGATCTTGTCTTTTTCAGTTTAGGTTTTTTCAACATATATGTCTACAAATGTACGTCCGATTTCAGAGTCACACTAATCAGGTATCAACATGAAAATATTGGTTTGATATTGCAGTCACTTTCATTCCCGAACTACAGGTACACAAACAATTCTTCAAAAATACTTTACATGTACAATGTACATTATGTGTAATAAATAATCATCAACATGATGATGACAAATTGTGCTAAGGAGCTGCAACTACATGTACCAGTATGTAATGTGCAAATGTAGAAATAATTATAATATTACATTTTAATAATAATCAAAATTATGTCTGTTGAGAGCGAGAAGCAAGAAAGGGCAGGGCATCAACTGATTTGTTTCTCTCATTTTCCTGCTTTTATCAGGCAGGACTTCCCCTTTAAGATCCTTCTGATTCTCAGTGGAGCAGATGATGTTTGCATGCTGTTCACTGTCCAGGTGGCTTAACTGTTTTGTAAAAAGTTATTACACTTAATGGGATAATTGGAAAAGATGGCTTCTTGATACATGTAGATGGGCAAATTGTCTATTTTTACTGATTAAGAGAAGAGAAATAGTTGCTGATCTAATTGAAAGAGACAAGTATGTGGTTAATCATATTAGCGATGAGATCTGGTCTGCGCGCACTTCACATTCTAACCACATGATTAATCACTTCAGTTTAATGCTACATGCATCATTACGTGTAGATGGGCTGTCCCCAGCAGAAGCCATAAGGTCACAGCGTGATGTAGGATGTCAATGAAATGGGGAGTGATGAGCAAGTTAGCTCTGGAAAACTCTAAGATACATGTTGCTCTAGCAATCTCAAAAAAGGGTCTTGCGATCTACCCCCTAAATGCACCAGTTAAAACAAAATATAGATAATAATTAAAAGAAACCAAATTGATGAATGGGAATTTATTTTCTACATCTCCAGTAAAGAAAAAAAACAAACATCCAAAGTATGATTTGCAAGGTATAATAGAAATGGGGGGAAATAGTGCATAAAAACAATGATACATATTGGGTCATTAACCACAATGGAGATTGGAGAAGCACTAGACCAAGAAAAGTTTAATCTCGGCTCTTCTTCCTCATTTATATTAAATATTCCAGCACTATTTTCTCCAATTTGTGTTAATGTGCACTACATGTTCATGTACATGAAGCATTGTTTTTGTTATTCTTCCCCAATCCGCAATACCCAGAAACCTGCAAGACATAAAACTTTGCAAATTTATAAAAAATAGAGTGATTTCTTGGCAAGAAACTTCTGCAAATTTGCCAAAATACAGTGTTGTCAGACAATGTCAGTTTGTCAGGAGAGTTGTCATGAATCTGAAGTGCTGAACCAATCACAAAATTCAAGATCATTTCATGATCATGAAATTTGCTGGTTTTATAATTCAACTTCATGAGATGTTCATTAATTAATGACTATGAAGATGTGTATCATTGGGCTTGTTTCTCAAAACCAATGACAGGACAGACATACAGTAACTTTATCTGCCAATTATTAAAGAAGATGTCTCTGATCTTCCTAAACCATTTCACAAAGAGCTTTAACTAGCTAGACATCTCATGAAATCTATACTATCAGGGAGAAAAGGAGCCCATGACATAGCCTTAGTCGCAATTCCACCAGATTTAAAAAAAAGTAATTTTAGGAAAACTGCAATTATTTCAACGAAGTAGGGAAAAAAAAAAGATTGAAAATAGTACCATGAAATAAGAGATGTAAATACTTCAAAATTTGTGTAGATTATACTATAGAATTAATTGTGAATCATAATTATGAGTATTTCATTTCATAACCAGTGATTTAGTTTTGATTTTTGTGTGAGGACGGTCGGAAGTTGGGCGCAGTTGGAGCGGCAACGGCAGCGGCTCGAGACCTGCCCCAGAGCCCGTCCAGCGAGCCAGCTTTACTTGCCCAGCTCTTGCCCCGTCTGTCTGCGGCTCGGCGATCTTGCTTTGGTGGACGTGGGCGAGGCATTGAAACATGAATTGTTGTTGTTTTATTTTTTTATGCTTTTGTCATTAATTGTGAATATTTATGCAAAGTGATGCTGGTGATGCTAGGGACCGTTTCTCGAAACTGTCATAATATTAACAACTCCATTGTCATAATATTAACTCTTTAGACTTTACTTGACTTCTTTATAAAACTAAATCAGTGTTAAAAATATAGAAAGCCACTTGTCCGCTACGCACATGTACATCAGTTTCATGAAGCCCTTTAGACTAAGATCAAGGACAACATTCTGACTAAGGAGTTATGATGCTTCCGACATTGTCATATCTCTGTCATCATTTTTAAGTCGATGGTCAGTGCCAGCGCATGTCATTTAATATTAAAGGACAAGAAATCCTCCAGGAGTCCAGCTATGATGATGATCTTTCGGCGCTTGTTCAGGAACCTATAAAAAATTTGACCCACAACTCCAGCGTGGAGATACGATATCCTACTAAAACATATCCAAAATGAAGTAAATATTCATTAAATGTCCAAATAAAGATCATGAGTTAAAATTCTGTGTGAAGGTACTGTAAGTAATGTCTCAGATCCTCATTACGGTAAATAACTTCAAACAGGCGCGCACCTGCCTGCAACCCACCATCGGTATGCACTTGTATTGTGCAGCGCTTTGCTGTGAAACCTGTGAAAAAGTGTATAGTCTAGGCCTACTAATATCAATGTTTTTCCGAAACATACTCCAAAAATAACAAGAAAATTGACACGAAACAGGTAATAAACAATACAACTTTTAACTCATTGACTTTTCTTAATGTATTATGAGTAGGCCTAACAAGTAAATGGAGTTGTTAATATTATGACAGTTTCGAGAAACGGTGCCTAGCATCACCAGCATCACTTTGCATAAGTATTCACAATTTAATGACAAAAGCATAACAAAATAAGACAACAACAATTTATGTTTCAATGCCTCGCCCACGTCCACCAAAGCAAGATCGCCGAGCGCGAGTCGCAGACAGACGACGGGCCCGGAGCCCGGCAAGATAAGCTGGCTCGCTGGACGCAGCCGCTCTGGGGCAGGGCTCGAGCCGCTGCCGCCGTTGCCGCTCCCACTCCGCCCAACTTCCGACCGACCACACAAAGGGCCTATTTTTTTACGTTGATACTGCTTATCAACAGGCACCAATAATTAGTAAACATTATAAATACCTTCTGTGATCCAAATTCCTTTCCTCTGAGTAAAATCCCTCTCTGATGCTGACATAATTGCACTCGAATTAAACTTCTGAACGCCATTTCTCTGACACAATTTTGGTCGCGTCGTCGGAGCCTTGCCAAAATATCAGACCCTAATTATGGTGTCGCCGAAAAGTCAGATAAAGAATGAAAAACTTTTATAAGTTTCGAGTTTTATATATCTTCATGAAATAATAGACTAGAGTATTTAATCATAACAGTACAATGTAGAATGAAGAAAGACGAGGAGACCTTGGTTGAAGCATCAGGTTCATGGTTGAAGCCACAGATTTTTTAACCCTAGAAGTGGTGTTTATACAATTAATAAAAAAATACAAAAAACAAACAAAAAACGTAAAATGATATGAAATGATAATTTTGAAATTAACTTGCTGTAAATCAATAGACCGATTTGCTATTCCCGTTTGGAAATCATATATATCAGAGCTGCATATTCCGAGATTTTCATGGTCGCAGCTACCATGGAATGACCTTAGGTGCTATTTGAAATATTTGAAAATTACCGGGAGCACCAGTAAATTTTGGATTATTCAATTTCTCGAAAGCAGAAGTGTTTTAGAGGAAAAAATGTTAGTGCTTATAATACATCCACAGAGACATCCAAATATATCAAAAAATTAATAATTACTATCCATTCAATTTTCAAAATTTCCCAAAACTTTGCATTACCCTTTAAAGTAATATGATATTCAATACAGTTTGAATTTTGAAATGTACAAACGATATATTCAGCTTTCTAATGAATAGGTCGGCACTCTATAGATTTCTGTATAGGCCTATTACTGTTTCAACTGAAAACACGACCTAATATACCCTCAGCCCAAACATGTATGACGCCATGTCATGAAAATGCAGAGCCGTCGAGCAATTAACATTCAAAGTTTCAAGTTGCAGGGGAAGGGGAATCCCTCCCTCCCCCCCCCCCCCCGATCCAAGATTCATGTCTGTTTGTCTGCTCTCTATTACAGTTTTCACCCAAATATAATCAAGCCAAATATTTCTAAACGGCGTCCACCTGCTCCTGGATATCATGCTTTTGAAGTCTACCTCCTTCTGCTATATTTTTCATCCTTCCTCTCTATATATCCCCTTCCTTCCCTTTTCTGCATGACTGTAACTTATTTATATTCTTTCTTTCTTTCTTTCTTTCACTTCCTCTCTCATTCTTTTCCATATCTACCCGCTTCCTTCCAGGCGCGGATCCAGGATTTCTTAGGGGGGGGGGGGGCCCAAATTTGAAATTATGCGAGCCAAATATTGGTACGTAATAGTGACCAACAGTGACGTAATGCGGGGGGGGGGGGGTCGGTGCAGGGAGGGGCGATTCCCCCCCCTCCCTCCTCCGCGAAAACGCGGAAGCTTTGACGTTTTATTAAATTATTAGAGAAAGAAGACGATTCGTTGGACCATTCTCGAAAATAATTCTCGTCTGAATTTAATTTTTCCCCTTCCTCGTGAAGCGTGGAAGCTTTTACGATTCATTAAATCATTAGAGAAAGAAGACGATTCGTTGTACCGTTCTCGACTCTTAATCCTTGTCTAAATTCAGTCTCCCGCCTCCCCCTCTTGCGCGAAGCGCGGGAGCTTTTACGTTTCATTAAGCCATTAAAGATTCGTATTACCGTTCTCGCCTCTTAATCCTCGTCTAAATTTAGGTTCCCCCCCCCCCTTCCCGCGCGAAGCGCGGAAGCTTTTAAATTTCCTTAAATCATTAGAGAAAGAAGACGATTCGTTGTACCGTTCTCGAAAATAATTCTCATCGGAATTTAGTTCCCCCTCCATCCCGCGCGAAGCGCGGAAGCTTTTACGTTTCATTAAGCCATTAAAGATTCGTATTACCGTTCTCGCCTCTTAATCCTCGTCTGAATTTGGGTTTCCCCTCCCCCCCCCCCCCCCCCCCCTCCCGCGCGAAGCGCGGAAGCTTTTAAATTTCCTTAAATCATTAGAGAAAGAAGACGATTCGTTGTACCGTTTTCGAAAATAATCCTCATCTGAATTTAGATTCTCCCTTCCCCCCCCCCCCCTCCTCCCGCGCGAAGCGCGGAAGCTTTTCAGTTTCATTAAATCATTAGAAAAACAAGACGATTCGTTGTACAGTTCTCGACTCTTAATCCTCGTCTGAATTCAGTTTTCCCCCTTCTGCGCGAAGCGTGGAAGCTTTTACGATTCATTAAATCATTAGAGAAAGAAGACGATTCGTTGTACCGTTCTCGACTCTTAATCCTTGTCTTAATTCAGTCTCCCCCCTCCCCCTCTTGCGCGAAGCGCGGAAGCTTTGACGCTTCATTAAACTATTAAAGAAAGAAGACGATTCATTGTTCAGTTCTCGACTCTTAATCCTCGTCTAGATTCAGCTTCCCCCCTCTCGCGCGAAGCGCGGAAGCTTTTAATTTTCATTAAATCATTACAGAAAGAAGACGATTCGTTGTACCGTTCTCGAAAATAATCCTCATCGGAATTTAGTTCCCCCTCCATCCCGCGCGAAGCACGGAAGCTTTTACGTTTCATTAAGCCATTTAAGATTTGTATTACCGTTCTCGCCTCTGAATCCTCGTCTGAATTCAGGTTCCCCCCTCCCGCGCGAAGCGCGGAAGCTTTGGCGTTTCATAAGATTATGAGAGAAAGAAGATGATTCGTTGTACCGTTCTCGATTTTTAATCCTTGTCTGAATTCAGTCCCCCCCCCCCCCCTCCCCTCCCCTCCTGCGCGACGCTGTGACGTTTCATTAAATTATTAGAAAAAGAAGCCGATGCGTTGTACCGTTCTCTATACTGTTAATCCTTGTCTGAATTTCAAAGATGTACTTTGTCTGCTCCTTTTTCTTCCTACGTCCTCTTCCGATTTGGGGGGACCGCCCCCCCCCCCTCCCCCCCCCCCTGGCTACGCGTCTGCGGTTAGATAAACACATTTTGATACTTTGTCTAACCCCGCAAGCGGTCAGATAAGCATTCAGGGGCCCTCCTTAGGGCCCCTGGTGGGGTCGAGGCGGCGGAGCCGGCACTGGAAGCTCAGGGGTTTTAGGCGTTTAATTAAGGTCAGATGAGCATTTTTTTTGTATACCTTATTATTTTGTGACACTGGCAGGTCACTATTTGGCGTGGGGTCCAGGGGGCGGAGCCGCCAAAAATCAGGGATTTGAGGCATTAAATTACCGTCAGATGATCATCTAAGGGCCCGCCGTAGGGCCCTAGGTGGAATCCAGGGGGCAGAGCCCCCGGAGGCTTAGGGGTTTTAGGCATTAATCACGGTCAGATGGGCATATTTTGATGCCTCATTATTTTTTAACACTGGCAGTTAACTATTCTTTCATTCTTGCTCTCATTCTATATTATTTCTCTTTAATATACTTTTTCAAAAAAGTGGGGGTGGGGGGGGGGGGGGCTCGGTGCTCCCGATCCCCGCCGTACCTCGGGCACTGACATGTAGGAATATCAAGAATCATATTTCTTGCCTGGCTGTAAATTTAGGAATTTGTCATTTTCCAACAAACACATACAAACGTTTAATTTACTAAAAAGTGAGGAAAAATCTCGGAAATTATGTCATATCAGCATTATTTGTAATCCACCGTTGTGGAATTAGAAATAAACCACGTTTGAATTTGATTTCCCCCAAGCCCCCCCCCCCCCATCGGTACGCCAGTATCTCCTCTTTTCCTTTTTTCTTTCCCTTTCCTTCCTTCTCTCTTATTTTTTTGATTGGGGGGAGGGGGGGGGGGGGGTCAACAGCCTGAGAGGCAAGGCCCTTTCGCCCCCCCCCCGATCTCCCTTTTCCCCCTTTTCTTTTCTTCTTCCTCTTCTTTCTTTCCCTTTCCCTTCTTTTCCTTTCTTCTCTCTCTTTTTTTTTTTTTTTTTTTTTTTTTTTATTTGCGGGGGGGGGGGGCCAAGGCCCGCTCGGCCCCCCCCCCCCTGGATCCGCGCCTGCTTCCTTCTCCTCTCTTTTACACCATTTTATCCCTTTCTTCTGATGACATAAGATTGAACTTTTAAGTGTTTAACATTGTGATTAATGTAATATTCGATGAGGTATTCAGTTTAATGATTGATGTATTATAGTTTATTATATTTTATCCCTCTGATGACATAAGATTGAACTTTTAAGTGTTTAACATTGTGATTAATGTAATATTCGATGAGGTATTCAGTTTAATGATTGATGTATTATAGTTTATTATATTTTATCCCTCTGATGACATAAGATTGAACTTTTAAGTGTTTAACATTGTGATTAATGTAATATTCGATGAGGTATTCAGTTTAATGATTGATGTATTATAGTTTATTATATTTTATCCCTCTGATGACATAAGATTGAACTTTTAAGTGTTTAACATTGTGATTAATGTAATATTCGATGAGGTATTCAGTTTAATGATTGATGTATTATAGTTTATTATATTTTATCCCTCTGATGACATAAGATTGAACTTTTAAGTGTTTAACATTGTGATTAATGTAATATTCGATGAGGTATTCAGTTTAATGATTGATGTATTATAGTTTATTATATTTTATCCCTTTGATGACATAAGATTGAACTTTTAAGTGTTTAACATTGTGATTAATGTAATATTCGATGAGGTATTCAGTTTAATGATTGATGTATTATAGTTTATTATATTTTATCCCTCTGATGACATAAGATTGAACTTTTAAGTGTTTAACATTGTGATTAATGTAATATTCGATGAGGTATTCAGTTTAATGATTGATGTATTATAGTTTATTATATTTTATCCCTCTGATGACATAAGATTGAACTTTTAATTGTTTAACATTGTGATTAATGTAATATTCGATGAGGTATTCAGTTTAATGATTGATGTATTATAGTTTATTATATTTTATCCCTCTGATGACATAAGATTGAACTTTTAAAGGGAAAGTCCACCCCAAAAATAAGTTTGTTTCGATAGAGGCAGAATAATAAGAAAATCAGGTGAGTGAAAGTTTGAGCAAATTCTGAATGAAAATAAGAAAGTTATGAATTATTGAAGTTGTGATCAATCAAATACAAATTGGCAACTCTGTGACTTATTATACGAGCTCTCCTTCATTTGCTTTGTACATAATATTCCATAAAATCATGTTTTCTTCGTTATTGA